TCGCGTAAAAAAAGAAAAAAAAATATACATATATATAAACGTAGTTCATAATTATTGTCATTTATATTGTCATATAAATTACTTATTAAAGAATCCGTAATAACAGAATGTGGCAATCCCTTTTGGCACATCCTATATAATTCTTATTTCTAAAAATAAATTTGCCTATCGCATTCTTTTCCAATGTCGTCATTTTCATTATGCGGAGTTATCGAATAACGATTAACGACGACGAACCATTCATGCATAAGTCGAGGTTTTATCTCGACGACGGCATGAAAAATTAATGGAACACATCGCGCGCGGTCCCGAGCTCTCAACGGCAATCCATTTCTCGACACTGGAGTATACGTCGACCTCGTTGTCAACCACGGAAATCGTTTTCGCAAGTCGATCGACTCCCGGGGACCCTTCAATGACTCGTTAGACTTTCGTGCGATCGTACGATTGCGACGGAATATCGGTTCGGTGCGATTATGCAGACAGCGAATTCTAGCGCGCTTCTCCAATTAGCGAGGAATCGAAAAGCGACAAGTTGCAGAGCGAATTTCGATGCAAATTAATTACGACACTCAATCGAGGAAAAACGAAGCAATCATGCTTCAATATTGAATCTAATACTACGTCAATCGAAATCAGTTATCGTAGAGTGACGTTGATATTTATATTCATTCGATTGTAACTGCCAAACTCTTATTTAGAAATATTTAGAAACAGCTAGTCCGTGTTATATTTTTTATTTCAGAAAATTTATATATAAAATGTCTACTTATTATAGAATTTCAATATATAACATAGACATTATCAATAATATATGTTTCTTCGGAAAATATTGATTTAAAATAAAAAAAAAAAAAGAAAATAAAAAGAGAGTGAATGTCTTTGGCAAGAATTTTACTTCTATAACTGTAAAAGATGTGAAAGTATCTCGCTTTTCAATTAATTGAACATCGTGTTCTAAATATTTCACGATCGATACATTCCTGTTTGCGCTCTCAAGCTTTTTAACATTACGCGTAAGTAGCCTCTACGATAATCTATGGCAAGCGGACTCCTTGCATCTTCCGGCTCGTGGCAGTTTCCGGCGATTTAATTTAAACTTGTTTGTCTGGCGTACAAGTTTCTTGTCAGATGAATCTCGAGCGTGCCGATGAGCCGCCACGCCGCTTATACAATTATGAATATTAATTTTCCATCCCAGCGACTGCCATCGAGGCGACATGGAAGAAGAGGGATATTTGACAAGATTTAAAAATATCTACGAAATGTAAAGCAACTGTTCCAATCGCGAGAAATGTGAAATACATGAAGCGGAGGAATTAATTACTCGTTGGCAATTATCGTGCCATAAATTACTCACATTGTTATTACATCACAATTATAATCTATTATACATTACTTGTAGTAAATAGTTTCTCATTATATAAATAAAGTAATAATTTGTGCAAATTAGATTGAAATTTAATCATCAGAATATTGAATGATTTTGTAATTAAGTTTTGGCACAGCAGATTTTGTTAAAAAATTGCACGAAAGTAGATGGCTTCTAGGACAATGGATAGATGCGAAAGATCATATTTCGAAATTTTTTCCCGCACATACATTCCGCGCATACGGCAAGCAATAAATAATTCAACCAGCTTGACGGTTTTCAATTTTTGGAGACGAATATGATATCACATATGAATGGCTGCAATCTGTTTGCGTTTGAGCCTTGTTCGTTCCCAGTCGTCAAATCCAACAGGAATTACTTCGCGCCGATCAATTAAAATGGTCGCCAGTTGTTCTTTGACGAACCATGGATGACCAATTAGTCGATGAAAAAATAGAAGGATTTTTTATTTCGTGCATCGCTCAATTTTTCGAAATCTATTTTTGCGAAACACGGTGAATTCCGATGAAATCTGATAAGCCAGATATGCGTTATCAGATACTCGCATACGAGTTCGTTGCACTGTCGAATGCTCAAATATTTTTCCAATAACTGCGCTAGATCATTATCCTCTTTCACAAAATTTTCTTAATTTTCAATGTTACAAAAGTTACCTTACTAATATATATTATTAAAAAATATAAAGAGATGCACTATCAACTCATCCATAAAAATATCATTAATATTGCTAATATATCCTTAGTACAAAAAGCTCGACCTGATACTCGATACGTAAATGCATAAAAGCACACATAAAGCTTAAAAAGCTTAATAAATTTACTTGCTGAAAGCAATTTATGCCAGCTTATATTTATAATTATGACGATGTATTATAATTTTGCGAGCAAGGAGTCTTCATTATGATTTCCGTGCTCTTCAAAATAATTGCAAACGAATTATTCGCTTCGGATTCATACTTTGTGGCCTAAGGAAATCGCTTGAACCGCAATTTTCCCCGAGTCTCCATCGTTGTTTCCGGATTAGGGAGATGGGCAGAGGGGAGCGGAAAGTATACTACGTATATTTCCTTTCTACCTCTGTTTTTCATGGAGATTAATCGAACGTTGCCGCGTTCGCGGCATGTTGCCTACGCCATGCGTCCGTCGCATTTCGAAGCGATTCCGGAAGTGGCGTTATTAATGACATCGTGGGGTTGATTGCTTTTCGACGAAACCCCTCTTTCTCCTCGAACTTTTCCTCTCTTTCCCCTCTGTATCCCTATTGTAATCGGTGAAAAATGTTTCAATTTCGTCTCGTCCAAAGTCCGCTTTCATTTACGGGTGGGTCGAAAAAAAAAGAGATCCGGACCAGACAAATCGGATCTCGAGCCGGTTAAATATTCGCTATATCCTTTTTGTCGCAAAAAATATTGATACCAATATACGGAACGAGCAGGAAAGATAGAGGACGAGAAAGAGGAGAGAAACAGGCATTGATCGAAAGTATCGTGGCGCGCCGATATTGACGGGCTTTTTGCATATTCATAATGCGGCTATCGTGTTTCGCGAGTATTCGAGAAATTTGGAACATTCTCGGGGAAAATATCCGGCATTTTTTTTTTTGTACTTGCGTAATAGCCGAACGTGCGACCGAGTAATTCAAACAGTCGTTATTTTACGGGCGAGTAAAGAGCCTCTCTGACGCGCGAAAACCGCAATTCCCTTTTGTATTGTATAAAAAAAAGCGCATTGGAATGAAACTTCAATACACTACAATGGCAATTCAGGTATTTTCGTGGACTTGAAAAGCGACGAAAGCTGCATTGTTATAGACGATTATCTAGAGGCATTAATATATTCGTCTTAATTAATTTAATATTTCTTCTCATTCGCACTTTTACTTACGTTTTTCTTGTTCGTAAATGAAGAAGAGATATCTGTCGCCTGAGTAGGCTCTTTTCGAAAAAGAACTCATTTCCGCGAAGAGCGGGTCGACTGAACGCGATGTAGCGCACAATTAGCGTTAATTGAAATGAGCGTACTCACTGTTAAGCTCGATGACAATGGTGGTGGTAGGTGGCTGTGCTAATTGAGTGTTATTCGCTCGGCAGGATAGTTTGGCGTGATGATGCCTTCTTGTGAGAGCCTTCAAAGTCACGTTGCTGATAGTTACGACGTTGATCTCCCCGTTCGGATCATGCGTCTCTCGAATTTCAGTGGATGCATGAATATTCTGGGACTCCAGATACCAAGAGACCTGCGGTCTCGGCTTACCTGCACATATAAAGCAAAATTATAGTTACAAAAGAATAATAAAAAAAAACAAGATGCCTGCATTAAAACCGTAAAGTTTTTACTATTCATGATTTGATTATCTCTAAAAACTAAATATGATATTATAATAAACATAAAAAGTAATGTAAATGGCATAAAAACTTGAAGATATTGTAAAGTATTATAATGTTAAATTAGTACAATATATAAAAAAATTTATATAACTGAAATTTTACTAAATAAAATTTCTTTAAGCGCGATATATTTAATGTTATAATTTAAACAAAAAAATATTCTATTCACGCGCGAAGAAGATCTATCCAAAAAATATATGTATACATATTATTTTTGGAAAATATAACAAGTTGTAAATATTATTTAATTTATATATTAAAGTATATTTCATATTATTATATCTGTTCTAAATTATTTAATCATGTATGTATATATAAAGAGAGTTCCAAAATTATTCATTTATATCAATTATAAATATTAAGGGCACAATTATTTTCCTAGCTGAAGTCGAATAGAGAAGTTTATAAACCTATTTGTGAAGCGCTTCTAAAATCTCTATCAAATGTCAATTAGCACATTCGACAAGCTTTGACGATTGTAACATCGAACCTGGGGCTGAAAAGGATCATTTACGGGTGGGTCGAAAAAAAAAGAGATCCGGACCAGACAAATCGGATCTCGAGCCGGTTAAATATTCGCTATATCCTTTTTGTCGCAAAAAATATTGATACCAATATACGGAACGAGCAGGAAAGATAGAGGACGAGAAAGAGGAGAGAAACAGGCATTGATCGAAAGTATCGTGGCGCGCCGATATTGACGGGCTTTTTGCATATTCATAATGCGGCTATCGTGTTTCGCGAGTATTCGAGAAATTTGGAACATTCTCGGGGAAAATATCCGGCATTTTTTTTTTTGTACTTGCGTAATAGCCGAACGTGCGACCGAGTAATTCAAACAGTCGTTATTTTACGGGCGAGTAAAGAGCCTCTCTGACGCGCGAAAACCGCAATTCCCTTTTGTATTGTATAAAAAAAAGCGCATTGGAATGAAACTTCAATACACTACAATGGCAATTCAGGTATTTTCGTGGACTTGAAAAGCGACGAAAGCTGCATTGTTATAGACGATTATCTAGAGGCATTAATATATTCGTCTTAATTAATTTAATATTTCTTCTCATTCGCACTTTTACTTACGTTTTTCTTGTTCGTAAATGAAGAAGAGATATCTGTCGCCTGAGTAGGCTCTTTTCGAAAAAGAACTCATTTCCGCGAAGAGCGGGTCGACTGAACGCGATGTAGCGCACAATTAGCGTTAATTGAAATGAGCGTACTCACTGTTAAGCTCGATGACAATGGTGGTGGTAGGTGGCTGTGCTAATTGAGTGTTATTCGCTCGGCAGGATAGTTTGGCGTGATGATGCCTTCTTGTGAGAGCCTTCAAAGTCACGTTGCTGATAGTTACGACGTTGATCTCCCCGTTCGGATCATGCGTCTCTCGAATTTCAGTGGATGCATGAATATTCTGGGACTCCAGATACCAAGAGACCTGCGGTCTCGGCTTACCTGCACATATAAAGCAAAATTATAGTTACAAAAGAATAATAAAAAAAAACAAGATGCCTGCATTAAAACCGTAAAGTTTTTACTATTCATGATTTGATTATCTCTAAAAACTAAATATGATATTATAATAAACATAAAAAGTAATGTAAATGGCATAAAAACTTGAAGATATTGTAAAGTATTATAATGTTAAATTAGTACAATATATAAAAAAATTTATATAACTGAAATTTTACTAAATAAAATTTCTTTAAGCGCGATATATTTAATGTTATAATTTAAACAAAAAAATATTCTATTCACGCGCGAAGAAGATCTATCCAAAAAATATATGTATACATATTATTTTTGGAAAATATAACAAGTTGTAAATATTATTTAATTTATATATTAAAGTATATTTCATATTATTATATCTGTTCTAAATTATTTAATCATGTATGTATATATAAAGAGAGTTCCAAAATTATTCATTTATATCAATTATAAATATTAAGGGCACAATTATTTTCCTAGCTGAAGTCGAATAGAGAAGTTTATAAACCTATTTGTGAAGCGCTTCTAAAATCTCTATCAAATGTCAATTAGCACATTCGACAAGCTTTGACGATTGTAACATCGAACCTGGGGCTGAAAAGGATCGGACAGCGGGACGTATCGGAGCTGGCAGGATGACGACGCCTGCCAATTACTCATTACTTCTCCGCCAATGAGCCAGTTGACAGCGAGGGTAATTCGAGTGGCGCGTATCCCGAGGGCCGCGTCGTGGATGTCGCCGTCAATCACGAAAGTGGACGGGCCTCATTCGGCCGAAACAACGGCAGGAAGGCAGGCATTCCACGTCTCCCTCAAGGGACCGCTACCTACCTACCTGTGGCTCACCGCCGCCGACTGTTACGACTAATTATGACAAAAGGAGACCACGAAAGCGTGCACTTCTGGGATAGAACCGCGCCCGTGGCCCGTGCACCAAATGCATTGCAACACGTCGCTCCAATGGCGTTGCGCTAATTTACTGTTGACTAATTAGCAAGGTACACTTGTTGGCCGGGGATGTAAGGAAGCTAGTAAACTATCAGACAGAGACTATAGAGGATTGTCCGTCGCGAGAGAGAGTAGTTGCGAATAGCGATTGTAAACCGTAGAAGCAATAATAAACCAGCTCCGACAATTCAGCAGTCCGGGACTGATTATATAGTTGATGTAAGTTTACGAGATTATTCTCTCCTGCTTATTCAAAATAGATCTCCTTTGAACTTGCACGCTAATATAACTGTCATGTACGCGCAGTAATTTTAGATACTATTCTCTAGCAATTTTTTTTTGAGCAAAAGATTTATCTTTCTTTTTTAATAACTTTTTTTATTTCTTCTCACATTGTATTATATAATTTTAGTAAAATATAATTTTTTTAAATTTTACACTTAAAATTTCAGATGTTAATTTCCGTAATTTAATATACAGATATAACTTGAAAAATGAGGGAGAAACAGTTTGATTGTAAAAATATTCAAAACAACTGTGAGGTTGTAAAACTTGAGAATTCTTGCCCTAAATAATGTTTTCGATTCCAAAAACATTTTGCAGCGGACAGTATCATCGCACAAACAATGGCGTATACTGTATACCATCGAACGCTGCACGATATTAACGGATACCCGTTCCCTAATCAACAGTTATTCTAGATGAACCATCTGTCTATCTAGTTCACAGACAGCTGTCTGTGTTCTAGCTGTCTACATAGATATCTATCCAATCAAAGATACGTCTGTACATTGCGTATACATCTTGCCGAAAGCCGCGATCGTTGACACTGATAGTTAGCTAGAACGGTAATAGTAATTAGATGCAGCTTATTTGCTCGCTTAGAGCTCTACATTAATCCCGAGACTTGTATTTGCATAGAGGCAGCGCCTAGACACGGTGTTAATATCCTGATATAATGCATTTAATCAAAGATTACGACAACTGTTCATTGTTCATTTTCTCTTTTACAAATTTTTTTGATAAAAACAAATGTAAGATATTGAAGATTAAAAGCTTGTCCGCGATTTAGTTTTCAAGACTATAGATAGATAACACATTTTATTACATTTGCATATTGAATTTCGAATGAAGTCTATCTTAATAAAAATTCAACTTGAGATTTGTGTGTCAAATTATCATAAAAAAGAATCGAATTATATTTAATCATATCTAAAAAAAATATTTTATCATATTTAAAAAAAGATTCATAAAAGAAAATTTAACAACTGTCAAATCAAGATGTTTATATAAAACTGTTATGTTTGCGTCATACATTCAAAACTCGCATTTCTACGTGATGCAGAATGCTTAATCTGCATTTACCTGCAATGTTGCAACAACTGCAAATGTTTGTTCTCATACTGTTCTTAATGCGCGAGTGACATGGATTTGCGTATTTTGCGAGACAAGCTTTACTGAAGCATAAAATAATTTATTATAAATGCAGATTATATGAGTAAACATAACTGCCGGAAGTACGAAAAGAAACAAACAGATAATCCTAACACGCGCGTTATAGCGAGACGCGCATTATCTACAATCGCGTTAATTTCTCGAGCACAATGCGCTGAAATCGCATTAATTTCCCGGGCTACACGTTCATTAAACAATAACCAGGAAATGAACAAGAGCCTCCCCCGCTCTCTCCGTCGCAAAATCGAAGTTATCCTGCGCGTTCAGGAAACGCGTCTGTTGCGTGCTGGATGACCCGAGGGAAGCTTCTAATTAATGCGCACATTAATGCTCAAAGTAGTATATATATATATATTTCTCAACATAATAAAAATTTATGTTGTTCCTATAAATTCATAATTTTTTGCATCACGCGCGAGTTTTCATCTTATTTATTGATGGTTTTTCCGTGTACACATCTTTCGTATTATCAATATTATTAATATTATATAACTTGTTACACACATATAACTTATTTATAGCTTTATTAGCTACATGTTATATATATTATTAAAATCCATCAAGATTTCACATAGGTAGAGAAACATAAAAATCATCTGCGCTTGATCGAATTTTTGTTCAAATCCAAAAGTATATTACTTGACAAATTTAATTTGCAAGAAAATTGTAATACCGTGGTTGATATTCAGGAACATCGTCTCATGCGTTTGCGACTTCCTTCTAGTCGCGACATCGACAATTTCGAACCGCCGCGCGATAACCAAGCTCCGTCTCAAAAAGGGGGCGATAATAAGCGTTCATTAAGTTCTATACTATAATTAATCCCGCTACTGTTTCCATTGTTCCCCGCGGGATAATTTCCGCGTCGCCCCGCAGGATACAAATATATTCTGTTAGTGGTATGTCGGAGGGCTTTCCCCCATCCGTTTCCTCTCTTTAGAGCGCTCGTGATCGTACGAATCTCGTGGTCGTAATGTATGAAACACGATGTATACAGCGTGACTATAAATTCTTTTTCAAAAAGGAATATCGAAATATTTATAATAGTATTTCCTGAATTATGTGTGTAACTGAAAATTGAAAGTTTCTCGCGAATTAAATTTTACATTGTGTCAAAACTAGTTTCTTAAATAATTGTTACTCGAACAGAATTTTAATTTAAATAATCTCGCTGCAATGTGACGTGATGTTAGCGCAAATTTAAGACCACTCTTTATATACGACTTTAGGTTGTATTTATGTGTGTCGAACAAAAAAGCGGCACGGTTATTATTACGGTTATTATGACTTCTGTTATGCCGAATCACACGCGCGCTCTCGGAAAAGCTCGCGTATTAAAAGTCTCTGCGAACTAAACTCATTACCGTAACGTACTTACTCTTGTCGCGGTACTTACCGCAGCGTATTTTTATGATGTTACGCCGTTTTAAACACACCGTTATCGCGTAAACACATCGCCGTCCCAGTCCTCCTGCTCTCGTTAAGAAACGTAAAAGAACGATGTACGGTATATTTTTGCATGAATACTTTTATATTGCGAGTATATCCGTTTTCCGGTCGCCGTCTCATTTTACGTTCAGCTCCAGCAATTCCTCCGCCAAACAAATTTCTCGCGTTACCCGTAAGTAATCACGATAAAGGGAAACAATCGTATACGTTAATGCGGATCACAAAGTTCTCGTTATTGCATTGCAAACAGTTATTACATTGCAGATAGTAAAATCGATAAATGAATAATACTATAATGAACCATCAATTTAATAAAATGCTAGCAAAGTTGTAGCGATATTAAATCGCGCCGCTGTGAGCATCGATTAAACTTTAATCGATAACCACGAATTCAATCAAGCCTCAATTTGCACACAGAAAGTAATAAATGCTCTCGAACTCTCGTCAAACTCCTTATATGTATATATCATATAGTTCGATATTCAGATTTTTTTTTTTTATTATTGACGTAAAAAAAACACCCGTATTTTTCGAATAGTGTAAAGACAAAAGAGGTATAATGAAAATGCGCGAAATGTATAGGCACCTTCGGAAATACGAAGAAGGGAATAAAAAAACGTGTCGCGACGCGAAACGAAAAGAATGAAGAACGCGAACAGGGGTGGCGGAGGACGCGGTTATAGCTGCCGGTCGTGTTAAAACAAACATTTCGCCCCTGACTAACGCGCTGTGACGCTGTAAAATTGCATTCGATGCCCAACGCCGACATCGACAATGCAGCTGCAGCGCCAGCAGCAGCAGCAGCAATGGACAGGGGTTAGTCGGGGATGAGGTGGTGGTGGAAATACACGGTGTATTGTGCGGTAACAATACGCGACAGAATGAGCGGTCGCCCTGCTTTTCGAAGAATATATCCACAGCCGAAACGCGCAGTCAGTTTTAAACGCGCGAGGTCGCCAGCTCGCGCTTATGCGACGTATGCAAGTGCTCGAAATACGAGTAGAACCGGGTCAATTATTTTCAACAGCCGCGCCCGAATTGACGAGTACCACGGACGAGTACAAGGGCGACGTGATTGGAGAAGGAAAACACGGAAGTATGCAGGACTTCAC